CGACACTGTAATTTTTAAATTTCAATAAATTTTAACTTAGCTTGCTTTTATTTTTCTCCTAAGTATGATAAAATTACAGATTTCTGTGTTTTAATTTTCAATTAAGACACAAAAATTCAATTGATATTTCTGCACGGGACCATTCATTGTGAGCAATAGTAGCAATGAATTCGCTGCAAATCACAAACAAAGGTTGTAGTTCTGTTTTCTCGGTACTACTATACATTTTTTTTAGTTTCAGCAACCATTTCTTGAACTGACAAAATAATTTTCATCAAATGATGCATAAGCATTAAACATGGTATTTAAAAGTTTTTTATGAGCAGTAACACTTTTTTAATATCTTCATCATTAGCAGTTACTGTTTTTCTGCTGAAAATGAAATACCTTAAAAAAATTTTTTAATTAATGGTATACTTTTTTAATGATTGATGCGTAAATTCGCTAGTTACTAAAATGATCTAAACGGGTATTATTGACCTAATAAGAATAATACTTGTGATGGGATTGTTAAACCAAGATGCTACATACGAGAGAACACAAAGATGAGGATTTAGGTTTGAATGGATATGAAAAACAAAATGTACATTTTAGTATGTGTCAAACAATGATGTTTTTTCGTCAAAAAGAAAACGTGTATTGCTTAATTAATCTTGAAAAAGCATTATTATGGTAGTAAATTCTCCATTAATCACGAAGAAGATACCACTTACACACTCTATGCATGAACAGCTCATGACAAAACAATTTTTTTATTATTGAAATAGTGAACGAAACTGGATTATTTTGGTTTAGTGGATTTCAGTAGTATATAATTTCAGTGATATTCAGTTTTAGTGAAGTATTATTCAGTAACAAAATCCCGGAAATTAATTTAAATAAAAAAATTAGAAAAATAAATTGTTTTCGTTTATTGAACTTTAGTAACATATTTCAGTGAGATTAATTTTCGTTTCTCACTTTATTCAGTAACAAAATATTGGATATAAATTGAAATAAAAAACAACATTAGAATATAAATTTTATTTTACTGAATTTAGTATTTCAGCCAGATTAATTTTTCAGGGAATAATTAATATTCATTTTTATTCAGAAAAAAAAGTCCCGGAATAAATTGTGGATTTTAATAATACAATATTTCAGTGAGATTCATTTTTAGTGAAGTGTTTTTCAAGTAACAAAATACTAGAAATAAAAAACATTTAAAAAATAAATTATTTTTGCTTAGTAAATTTTAAAAATATAACATTTCAGCAAGATACATTTTTAGTGAAGAATGAGATTCACTCAGTAAAAAAAATATTGTAAATAAATAAATTGTAATTACTTAAACCAAGAGCGAATCTAATTTAGTAGCAATAATTTCAGTTTAAAAAAATATTTTGCATTAAATATTAAGCTATTTGAAGTTTCAAATTTAACAATACATACTTGTTTTCTTCTTCGTAAAATTATATAACACTGTTCAAGGCTTTGGACTGAAGCTTGAGATATAGCTTTAACTAACAACAGTTTCTAAAAGTAATATCAAACACTTAGTAAAAATCACAATACTTTCATTAGATTACAAAATTTGAAAACTGTTAAAGATAGAAAATTTAGAAACCAACGATAATAGTATTTTTATTGATGTAAGCTTTATTTAAAGAAATATTAAATGATTATTCACAATAAGTATTAGATATTTAAATCTGAAAGGTTTTGAAGTAGTAAAACAGGTTGCGTAGCCGGAATTTTCAAGTAACTTTTAAGTACTTTTTAAGCACTAAAAAAGTATTTTTAATCACTTTCCAAAAAAAATTGATAATTTAGAATCTATGCACTAATAAAAAAGATTTTTTCCTATCATTTAAAGTTCTTTATTTACAAACATAAAGTTAATAAAATTCAAAATCATGATAAAATAACTAGTTTCTGATAAATATTGCAGAGAAAATTGTGAAAATCATGAATTTTTGTAATTTAGAACGACAATCAATACGGAAAAAAATATGTCTACTTAAAAGATAGAAAATCAAGCATTTTTTACAAATCCTGAATAAAAAAAGTACTTTTAAGGGCTTTTAAAAAACATAAATCAAAAATAAACTTTTAAGCACTTTTTAAAAATGCTACGCACCCTGTAAAAGTAATGACATGAATTTTTAATTTCTTTAACACTTTTGTTGCCGATTTTGCACCAGCAATAAACAAACTTCTTCATAACAACTTCTGTAGATAAAACAAATCAAGCGGTAGAGGTAGAAAAAATAATATTTTCTTCCGACAACACATTGCTTATTAAAGAAAACTTATAGTGAGTTTCAAAAACTAAATTGATTGCTAAAATACGAAAATTTAACTTTAATTTTATTATTATCTACTACCACTTTTCACTGACAGATATTACATTATTACTTGTACTCAGCTAGAAGTGAACATGTTTGAATTATTGAAGATCTACTAATATAAACAACTAGTTTCATAGATCATTCATTCATTTATTATTATATTTCATTATTGAAATACATATTTTAAATTGAAACAATTGAAACAAAAAAAACATATTGAAACAATGCAATGACACTTTATGAAACTCATATCAATACTTACACTGTCAGAACATTTTACAGATGACCCCGAAAGAGGGAGATCCTGAAATAAAAATCATTTTAAAACATAAGGTACCCTTCACAGTATATAATAAGATGTTAAAAGAAACAAGGTTATCTGATCATTATTTATGTAAACAATAAACTGTGAACCAGGGTGCATAGCCAAATCTTTGAATCAAAAATAAGCACTTTTTAAAAACTTTTCAAGCACTCAAAAAATTCATATTCAAATCAGTGATATCATTGAAAAACAAAAACTTCTTATAAACAGTTTTAGCGTTAAAAAAAACCCAAAAAGAAACAGACGTAAATCGAAACAATCAGTACTTTCCCACATCATCGAGTGAATTCAACTTGACCCTGAACTCAGAACAAAAGTACCCGTACCCCCTACATCAAAAAAGTGTTAGAAGTAAAATAAAATGAACAACAATAAAATTAAAAAGAAAAACATTTCATAAGGATCTGATATTCTCCATCCGAATTGGAGCACTCGGGTTTCGGTTTCAAGTGTGCGTGCATGGGCAAGTCATAACGTGGGTACGACATGAAGTCCGCGTGAATGATTACGTAGCAAACACCCCATTTTTCGTGAAATGCATGGGATCCACCAGATATCACTGAAGAAAAAAAAAATTATTCAGGAAAAAAAGCACTTTTTAAAAACGCCAGCTGAAAAATGCACCTTTAAAAGCTTTTAAAAAAGAAATCCCCAAAAAAGCACCTTTAAGTACTTTTTACAAACGCACGCACCCTGGTGAACTAATAAACATTTCTTATGGGATACCTGCAAGTGACATAGTGTGGGTATTTCGATTCTGATTGGTTGCTGAAACGTGGCATTTGTTCACGTAAGCAACTGTTCTTTCCATTCTATTTCCAGTAAACCAAGTCTGTCAAGTATCAATTCTCTTAAGTGACACATTCTATATTCTTTTACAAAGATTTCATTTCTTCACTATATATTTCTAACTTAACTCAAATACCAGCACAAAGCCATGTGAGGCACAAACAAACTTATCATGCATGGAAGTTGCCACGTACACAGAACAAAAATATGTCCCGGTTACAATAAAGTATATAAATAAATCGAAGTAAATGAAGTAGACGAGAAACAATTATATTTCAACCAATTCGGTGTGCGATACGGGGCAGTATTTAATTAATTTCACATTAATTAACATTCTATATTAGAAAAACTTAGCTCAACTTCAACACGCCATTTTGCTTATAAATGATCAGCTAGTGCTGATGTCATAGACCACATGTGTGAGCATCCGTGATCTTTTTCTTGAAGTAAAAGTACCCAATTAAGAGGTTTTTTTTTAAAATTTGTAATAATAGAATTAGTTTTATTGGTAAAAAAATTATAGTTGAAATGAAATCAACAATACAAAATTTAAACACAAAAAAAAAAAAAAAATCCATGAGAATAAGTTTGGAGGATTGTTTTTTGTCTTCAAAGTTTGCTTATGGCTCTTAGCATGATGAAGTTATTCTGGNTTTAAAAATTTTTAATAATAGAATTAGTTTTATTGGTAAAAAAAATTATAGTTGAAATGAAATCAACAATACAAAATTTAAACACAAAAAAAAAAAAAAAATCCATGAGAATAAGTTTGGAGGATTGTTTTTTGTCTTCAAAGTTTGCTTATGGCTCTTAGCATGATGAAGTGATTCTGGTCTGCTTATTGTACAAGCATTAAGCAAAGGGTTAAAGAAGTATTTCATTGAACTGAAAATCAAATGACAATGACACATTTGCACTTTTGTTGACATCATTGCTTGGCAATACTTGGGTGAAGGAAGTATCAATGGTTAAGTAATGGGTCAAAGTAGGAAAAACATTTTTTTTTATAGTACTAAAGTACACCATTTATGTACAGTAGAGAACCATTTATCCGGTATCCAGATAACCGGGAAACCAGAAAACCGGAAAACATTTTGCTCGATTTTCCCGCCATTTTAAACTAGAACGAAAAAAGCGGAAATTGGACTCATCCTTGAAATTGAGTAGAGGAAAATGTAAGGAAGGGGGAATTTATTTCCCCCGTTTACCCAGAGAAACGTCATTTCCTACGTGACCTTGAAGGTAGGGAAGGGAGGAATGTTTTATTTTTTCCTTTAGGCCGTCAATATAACTCAAGGGTGTGGCATGCTGATTTCGTTTTCTGCTTGATTTACGAGGGGGTGGGGAAAATGCATTGCATGCATATCAGTGAACAGAAAAAGAAAAGAGAAAAATATATTTATTTGACATCGACTAATAAAAATAAAATCTTTTTCTTTTGAATAAATTCTCATTCTTTGGAAGTGCGGTATCAATTNGTTTCAGTACAATAAAATAAATAATATTTATGCTAGTGCCTTTTTTAACTATCGTTTCGGTTCGATAATTTTCAAGTGTCTTTATTTAGATTAATAAGTTTTCCTTTTATTTTATCGTTTCCCCCCGTATAATTAGGTATGAAATATATTGCGTTATTTAATCATTGGTTTTGTCTATATTATTTAATTTAGGAATTGTAATTAGTTTTAAAAAATAAATATGAGAATTTTGTATTTTTTAAACTTGATTTTCTTGTCAAAACTTGCAAATTTTTTTGTTCTTTTAAATGTTATATTTCTACCATTTTTTTTTCTTTTTAAAGTTAGGAGTACNAATATGATTAGGATATGTGCATGAGGGTTCGATAAAACATCGATTAACGACACTTTTTGGTCGATCCAGAAAACCGGGAAATTCAGATATCCGGGATAGCGATGGTCCCGAGCATCCCGGATAATTGGTTCTCTACTGTATTTATCTCATTCTATATGGTTATCATGTAAATTCAACCAATTTATAGTAATTGTAATTCACTGAGATCACGAGAAAAGTAACATATATTGATGGCAAAATTCCCTTGAATTAGCTTAACCCACTGACGGTTCTGCACGTAAAAAGTCGTATTTTAACCTGCAGTCTTCTCTGCATAGCAAAACCGGTTTTTACATGGTAATAGATAGGTGAAGAGTGTATAGGGGAGAAACATTCTCCCCATTTTACCCATTTGCTTAACCGCCAGTGGGTTAAAACGAGCCAGGAGTAGGTCGAAGTATTCCTTTTGTATTTAACGATATCCCAAACTATTAAAAAATGAACCCAAACGCTTTAGCATGCAGAAATAAAACTTTTTTGACGAAATATAATTCAATGCTGTTTTTAACATTTATTTTAATAATGGACAATATTTGTTAAATAATTGTTACTCCCCATATTTTAAAAATCTGAATGTATAGAGAGAAAAAAGGTAAAATTAAGAAAAAAGTATGTTTTCTGTTTATTGTAATTAAATTCAGGCAGCACTTGTTGGTTCGTTAGCATACTTCAACTTTACACCTCAAACCATTAAGAGTTAAGTTTGGAATGAACATCTAATTGTAAGATCAACTCATTCAAGTTGATCTTTTTTTTAATTTATTGTATGGAACATATTTTCAAGGAAAATTGCTAAAAACTAATAATTGATCCACTTAAATCATACTCAGTCACGTTTTACCAAACTAAACCCTATTAGCCCAAACAATAAAAATAGAAGATAATATTTCTTAATATCATACTCAATAGCTAAAAAAAAAGAGTGCAATATTAATAAAACATTAGCAGCATCATTATCTTACTGTTGCAAACGATGAAAAATCAGCAACCTCATACAAAATATAAATTTAAACTGATCTCCAAATCGAGAGAGATAAGAAATTATTAACGCTAAAAAAACTCATATTATTAATGACATATCTCACTTCTATAGACTTTGCTAAAATCCTTTGGCACTCAAGAGCTTTAGTAACTGATTCACTTATTTCTATTAAAGAATTAATAGAAATGTCACTACTTGTAGACACTTCTGTAATATTCAGTTGATTAGGGATAGTCTTTGGTGTTGCCTGAAGCTTTTCTTCTGCAGAAGAACCTGCTGGACTGACTTTACACAAAGCAAAAGGGTCTTGATTAGAAGTCTGTTGGCCATTTTTCTGAGATTGAAACAGAGAATCTTTTTTTTTAAATAAATACAATTTTTATAAATATCACTATATTTTAATGAAATAAAAAAATAACTTAAAAAGAAATTAAAATAAACATAGCAATGCAGTGGCTAAAGAATCCTAATGATAATACTACTTACATATTATAGTAAAAAATTAGGAAATTTGATATTGGTTCATTTTACTGTAATGTGTAACTTAATGTCATTTATTTTTCTCTTGGCACAAACTATTTAAAAGGCATGATTCAACATAAACACAGTCGGAATTCTATTTAACGAGTTTCCATATTGCTAATTTCCTCCATTTTGCGATATTTTTTCGAGGTACCAAGAACATTTCGGTAGTATCTCTGTAAAATGACTTCCAAATAGCTAAGTGAATTTTCTACTTAACAAACTTTTTTTTGAGATACACTTTCCCTATTTCCCAAAATATTTCAGAACATTTAAAACTTGTTAATGCCTTTTATGAGGGAAATGACATTAAATTGATTTTCGCAGCCACTTAACTTTTAGAGCAAGCAGTAAAATTCCTTCCCTTTTCGTTTGCATTTCAAACGAAAAACTCAGACAAAACGGATTTTATAAGAATGCGTGTGGTAACATATGTTTATAATTACTTTCATAATAAATGCAGCAATAATTTTATACGTAAATTTAGCTTTTTTTAGTTGAAAATGTATGTAGCATAATAATGTTACAATGAATAATGTTTTACTCTATTTTTGCTTTCCATGCAGACTTTTTTTATGGTTAATTGTTTCTGAATAACCAGTTTTCCATTTCAGGGTATATTTTTAAAAATTTATTATAATTTTTGTAATTTCTATTTAATCTTCATGAGAGTTTCAGTCAAAGGTTTTTGTTATCGAGCTTGTTTGATGCCCTGCTTGACTAGTTTTATGCAACAGAAGAGTCTAGAGAAAAATTATACATATACTCACCAAACACATACTCATACATACACTCATATACCATGATTGCATTGCAATTCAAAAATTATTCAATCAAACTGTCCTAAAATGTTATATTGTATTAAAATAGTTTTAAATTTTAACTTTATAGTGATAAATTTATATCTAATCTTTGGCAAGGTTAACTTAACACTGAAGCATCATGCACAAACTTGTCCTTTCTTGTTTTTTTTCTTTTTTTAATTCTCATTTAGTTTTTGGCTACTACAAACATTACCTCCATATTTTTCATCAAATATATTATTTAGTAACAGAACAGAAAGTTAGTTCTTAATATATTTCTTAAATTACAAATAATTATTTTGTAATAATTTTTTTGATTACATATATAGGCAGTAAACATACAATTTAACATAAAAATAAATATAACTTATCAAAATATAACTCATTTACTGTTCGATAAATAAATGGTAATTCAATATATTAATCACAAAAAATTGCACAATAAAGTAGTATAATAAATGTAAATTACTTCTTTTGGTTTTAAGCCTTGTTTGTTTAGATTATTATTTCCCATTTCAATAAGAATCTAACACAATAGCTAAAATAACAAAATATGCTAAATAAAAACAGTATAACATTTGAAGATAACTTTAACTAACATGCATTGAACTGTGATTAAAATAAGAATGTATAAAAATATTTTTGAATAATAGATAAATAATTTACAGGAAAATGCCATTATAATTTATATTATTTTTAAAAAAAATTTATCACAACAAATTCATATTAGTAAGAAAAAGATTTACACCTCAACAGAATGGTTTGCGAACTTTTCGATGACATATCGCATTCTTTCAACCCAAAACTGTCGTTCTTTTGCATCAGATGCTAAGAAAAAAAATGAAGAAAATAAGAATTTGAAAACAAAATAAATATTTACAATTTACGGATTATAACAATGTTCTTCAAACAACAATACATTTCATGATTTAAATATTTTTTACATGGATGTACTACAAAATAACCACAAAAAAAGAACAATTTATTTAAATTTATTTTTGAAAGTGGTTTATAATTTATATTACTTAGTCAAATGATGATATAAAGTCTACTCAATCAATTGGAAAAAAATCATTTAACATTATCACTTTATTTCTTTAACACAAGCAGTAACAATATAAAAGCATTTTTTAGAAATAAATTTTTTTTTCTTTCAAAAAAAGTATAAAAACTTATTTTTTTATCTTTAAATCCAGCAAATAACCCAAATAGCAGGTTATAAAAGTTTATCTTTATATAGTAGATATTTTTATTTTAAAAAAATATTTATGCTAGGAAGCTCTATTGCACACATATGTGTGAGATTCTGATGTCAATAATACTTTTCCAAGCAACAAATAAATAATTTTTTACAGTTATTACAAGATTTAAACTATGTATAAAAATTATATCTGTGTCTACTGCAAAACTAACAGAACTTGTATAGCAAACAATTTCATTGCATTATTATAATTTTAAAACAAAACAAAAAAAAATTTCATCCATAAAACAAAAATATACTACTTATACAATAAAAATCATATCTTAAAACACCAGATGCATTTCATTAATTAAGAAAAGAGTCTCATTTAAGGACTAATCTCTCAGACTTTCCAAAACTCTGAAGTGCAAAAAATATATAGTTGTTTTTTAGAACATATATTGCTAATGTTCCATTTACACATCTAAGAGAACTGAAAATTTTTTTACAAGGATATCATTTTCGAACGTCTGTGAAGATTAATGTTCACTTTAATTATTTACCTTTTAATTTATATATTTCACCATAAACTGCACTGACAATGAAGGAAAGGCTATCCTCATCACTTAGAGTAATAGTAGCACCCTGCAAGAAAGATTATAATTAACATAAAAATTAGTACATAAATATTAGAACAATTTTTAAGCACACAAAAAAAAGTTATACATGAAATAAAAAAAAAGTTATGTTATAAAAAGTTATGTTATAAAAAAAAGTTATGTTTTGAAAGGAACAAATCTTCCATAGTCAAACAAACACATACATTTACACACGGATACTTTTTGTGAAACAAGTGAATCACAACAAAGACCACTATTTTGTGTTCTACTTTTTCCAAACTAAATACTATTAAGACAAGTACTTTCAGTGGTTTTTTTTTTTAATTGTCAAAGAAGGTCATTCAAAACTCTTCAAAAGGCTATTTTCTTAAGATTTTGATTATCAAAATCTACTTGTGCCAACAGTGAACCACAAAGCAGTGTTCTCCTTAACACAGTTTTTTTATTCATATTCCATTAAAAAAATAATTAATTCTTTAAATAATAATTTCACACTGGCAAAATTATCTGTGTTTATAGGTATAGTTCTGATTACTGTTATAAATATTTATTTTGTCAGAATTATTTTCAACTAATTCAATTCTCTTTTTTAGGGGTAACTATTTTTTAACTATTTTTAAACTATTTAAAACTATTTTTTTTTTCTTTATAAAAAAAAAGATATCGTTAAATGTATAATTTCTCATTTTCAGCTTAAATTACAGAAAAAAGTTTTCAAGTTATTTATCAATAATAATTTCTCCTGTAGTTTGCTTTTTTTCTTTTTAAAAAAATTGTGCTGAGTGATTGTCATTTAGCATGGCTTTAATTACTTTCATTGACAACAAATTTTTCCTTTATTTTAATAATGAATGAGAATAACTTTTTGAAATACACACATAAAATAGCATAAAAGGTAATTTAAAAATTGTTAAGGATCAAATTCAGTTATTACATAATATTACACATTTTGATACATTTCTACAATGTTAAGTGAGTGCCCTTTCAAAACTAAAAGTGCTCTTTTCAATGAGGAAGCATTTTGCCCTTTTTAATTCCTATGCACAAAGGTATATATTTTTTTGAATACATTGTAAGGTGTAGTGCCTAAAAAATCAACATATGCCTGGTTTACATTTGACCTTAAAAGTAAGAAATAAAAATGTTGCACAATTTTCAAGGTCATTAACTGATTTTGCTAAAACTAGACTAATATGAAATTTGTGGGAGAAGAAGTTTTTAAAGCAGAAGCAAAATCATTTAACAGATTTATAGTTACTGATTCAATTTTTATGTAATATATCCCTAAACTTTGAGGCTCGTTTGTGATTAATTAAATACAGAAATGGTTATGGGAAAGCTGTATCAAGGTGCGTAACCAAGTTACTCAACAAAAAATAAGCACCCTTTAAGCACTTTTTAAGCACTCAAAAAATATTTTTAAGCACTTTAAAAAATTATCATAACTAGGCAGGGTTGGAAAGATTTTAACAATTGACAGTTTTATCTTGTTTTAACCGTCACGTAAAAAAAAAAAAAAAAAAAACTTTTGGCATTGTTTGTGACAATTGTCAAAAATCCTGAAATTTTGAACCATGTAAAATGAATAGCATTTTCATACGCTACGGACTGACAATACGGCAAAATAGATTGGGGTTGAATGAATTGTGAAAACGTTGAAAAGAACAATGTGTCTTTTTGCATGATTCATAGCGAAAATCGACATGGTAAAGATAAAAAATCTCCTTTCTGAAAAAGGAAAATCAAGCACTTTTTAAAAACATCTAATGATAAAAGCACCTTTAAGGGCTTTTAGAAAACGAAAATCAAAAATAAGCACCTTTAAGCACTTTTTAAAAATGCTATGCACCCTGTGTATAAAAAAATGTGATCTAGGCCCAATATGAATATCGGAGGTCAACAACTTTCCCCGAGATTAAATTCAGTCACTATCTAGTATTTACTAAAGAGAGGGGGTCAAACTTACTGGTTGCTATCTAGACATATTGCTCCGGATGTAATTTTTTTTAACACTGAATCCAATGAAATCAAAACCATATTGATACATCTATATTATATAAAACGCTAATATGTACGTATGTATGTATCAATAAAACCGATGTCGCGCTGGCAACAGTTTTCATTTTTAATTGATTGGATTCGGCGCGCAAGAACACGCAGTGAGCAACCAGATAACAATAACCAGAGTGAGCATTATCAGGTTGTTCAATTCAGATTCATGCACTAAAAACATGACAATATTTAATTTAAACTCAATTAGGAATTAATTAATTAATTGAAGTGAGAATGCTTTAAAAGGTCGCTGTTGAATTGATATTTTTCTACTGGGAGCTACCTTAACCTCTAAAAAACGTTTAAGTGTTTGTATTGAATGCATTGAATTTTTTTATATTTCGCGTTTATTTATGCATTGAATTTTCACGCTTTAAAATGCAGAATACTAGTGAAGCAATATTTGATAATTTATTTTGCTAATATGTTTCTTATTTAGCTAATGTTTTGATTTTTTCACCATGTACAATCTAAATAGCTAATATACTTTTTTAAAAGCCAATAAGAACATTGGTAGAATTTTTCTACATAAGTACAATACTATGTCTTTGATGATAATATATTATGTCTTTGTGCTAGAACATTGTGTTCATTGGCGAGCGAGCGCAGCGAGCCATGGTTCACGGCGTGAACCACACAGGATTGCGTAGCAATTCTCGGGGGTTGGCGAGCGTTAGCGAGCAGGGGGCAGAGCCTCCTAGTTTAACAGTAAAGAAGCTATTTAAGTTTTAAATATAAAGAGAGAAAATTCTAACTCGTATATATATTTATGTGTCTGTCGTTGTTATCCAGGCAAGTAAAGAATTGATTTTTACTTGCCTAAATATCGATGTTATTGATTGTATTTTTTTAATCAATTTAGAGAAGCACTTGAGTTTACTAACATTGTAAGTATAAAAGTTTTAATAGTTTAATATAGTTTTATATGAAGAACATATCCCGAAAATTTAAAAGATGACCAAGAAATGTGAATTATCTAACCTGCCTGACTCAATAATAATTTTTTAATTTTAAAGTACACAATAATTTTTTAATTTAAAAGTACACATTTCTACTGACAGGAATGCTTGGTGTTATTTAAATGTCCAAGGATGGAAGTTTATTCTGATATGTGTTCTTACTGTAATAGGATTATGATTTAAAGAACTAAATAATATAAGAAAATATTGTGATTAAGTCAACTTTACTTTACTTATTTATACTATACTTTATTTATACTTTACATTTATTTATCAACTTTACTTTATTTATTTTACTTTATTTACAATTCATTATACATCAAAATGATTAATTAAAATTTTAATCATCAGAGAAAACAAATCTCTTGCTATGCCACTGAGCAACCAAGTGGAATTCAAATTACTACTTTATCTAATTATGTCCAATAGACTGAAAACTTATTAAATTGTGTAAAAATAATGACTGTTTCAGCCAATGTTGATCTATTTAAAGCCTTAAATAACAAGCCACTTATTCAGTTTAAGTGCTAAAAAGCATAATTTATAAACAAAATTATACTTACAGCAAGATGCATTCCACCTCTGGGTTTGCTTTTTTTCTTTTCTTCAACCTAAAAGTATGAAACAGATATAGAAAAATTCAAATCATGATAAAAAAAAAATTCAAATACATTTTTACAAATAAAGATGCTTAACAATGTAAGCACAAGCTTAATTTGATTCTATTTTAAAATTTTCAAAAATAATTTTTTTTTAAAAAAAGGTAGAAAATATTAAACTACTTTTATTTAAGTCTGAAAAACTTGGGAGATTTGTAATCTTAAAATCCATAAGGGGAAAAATATATAACTTATTGTACTTTAAGAAACAGAGCTGTTTGGGGAAACAATATGAGGCAGACTAAGGCCCATCCTAGGCTGTAGAGCCAATAAAGAAGAAGAATTTTATAATTTTTTTACCATATAATATTCCAACATTCCACTATCTGGAGTGAGAATAAACCATCTATATTGCCAACCTTTAACAACATTTGTGTATTTATATAATATTCCTTCCACAGGCTGCCTAAATAAATGTAAAATGCATTTAAATTATAGAATTAACTATGCAAAATACATAATATATCATAAAGTTAATGAATAATATCAATGCACAAGAGCTAAATATAGTTACTATATCACTATGCTCAAGGTTAAACACTTAAAATGACAATAATACACTGAAACCTCTCAGGAGTGAACACTCTCTGTTACGCAGTAAAATGGTCTTTGATTGAAGGTGGTCGTTCTTAGAGGTTACCTCTATTGACTTCAAAATTGTCACCGAAATTTAATATATTTTAGACTGCAATGAAATCTGTGGTTTAAACGTTTTGGATAAAACTACAACTAATTTAAAAAAAAAAAAAATTTTAAATTATAGCACTTTAAATTATAGCACCTTCTTATTTGGAAGTTATTTAAACTGGAATTTAAACTGGATTATTACTATATTAAACTGGAACTTAACTGGAAAGAAGAAAAATTTATCAACAAATTTTTTATTTCTTTTTTTAAAAAAAAGAATTTTTTTTACTTATGAAAATAGTACAGCTTTTTTTTTTTTATGGTAGTATCTTTATAAGTAGTGACTTATAAAATTTAGAAAGCTAAAAGAAAAAAAAGTTGGATAATGTTTATCAACTGCAACTTGGATAAAACTACAACTAATTTTTTAAAAAAAAAATTTTTTAAATTATAGCACTTTCTTATTTGGAAGTTATTTAAACTGGTAATGAAAGAAGAAAAATTTATCAACAATTTTTTTATTTCTTTTTTTAAAAAAAAGAATTTTTTTTACTTATGAAAATAGTACAGCTTTTTTTTTATGGTAGTATCTTTATAAGTAGTGACTTATAAAATTTAGAAAGCTAAAAGAAAAAAAAGTTGGATAATGTTTATCAACTGCAACTTGGATAAAACTACAACTAATTTTTAAAAAAAAATTTTTTTTAAATTATAGCACTTTCTTATTTGGAAGTTATTTAAACAGGTAATGAAAGAAGAAAAATTTATCAACTAATTTTTTTCTTCTTTTTTTAAAAAAAAGAATTTTTTTTACTTATGAAAACAGTACAGTTTTTTTTTTATGGTAGTATCTTTATAAGTAGTGATTTATAAAATTTAGAAAGCTAAAAGAAAAAAAAGTTGGATAATGTTTATCAACTGCAAAAATTTCAGAGAAAAAAAATTATAAGATCGGCATTTCATAACGCAAGTCTGGTTAGACCTAAGTGAATTTAAGCTTATTACATTAGCTATAATCATGCTTATTAGAACATAAAATATATAACATAAATATAAAAAATTTAAGTTTTTTTTTCTTATTTTAAAAACATTGAGTTGTACAAGAAAGCAACAAAAATTAAATAATTTTCTCTGAACTCATGTGTATGATTTTCACTACCCATTAAAAAAAATAAAAAATTATTTTTTGTATTATTTTAAGATGCTTATTTTAGTGTTAAATAATATAAACAGTTTTTTAAAGTGGCATACAAACTTGGAAATTATAAAAATCTATATAAAAAAATTGAAAATAATGAATAATAAAGTAAACTGTCATAAGCAAGCACAAATAAAGTCTGAGTTACAAAAAAAAAACTTTATAAAAAGATGTCAGGAAAATTTGACAATACTTTGCTATTTAAATTAATAAGCCAAAGATTAAATATTTTACAAGGTAGACATAAATAATCCATACTAAAATAAAAAAAATTTTAAAAAAAAATGACCTAATGAAGATTTTAAAGATATTTAAACTAGGGGTGCACAACCTGCAGCCCAAATGCGGCCCTTCGACTACTGAAGTGCGGCCCGCGAGAGCTTCTAAACACAATAAAAAAATTTTTTTCAAAAATGGCAATTTTTAATCGCACTTTTAAGTCATCACGTTGACACAATCAATTTTAACAGATTCTTTAGTAAATGTACGTTTAACGCGCTTTCTTGAAGCCAAATTTATCGTAAATAGAATTTTTTTTTTTTTAAACAGTTATTTCCGCTTTTCTATGTGATTTTGAAAATTCCGAAATTTTATTACAACGAGAGTTTCAGATCTCAAATTTAAATAATCACTTTTTGTGCAATTTATTTGTGACGATTTCATCTTAAATCTAAGTGATTTTTTTATCTTTTTTTGCAATTCTGTCTTCTTTTTCAAAAATTTTTCTCGGCAGTTATTGCTGTGTTCCCACATATTATAAAAAATTCCAATTATTCTGTTACGACTTGCAAATTTTAAATCATGCATTTGACGCGCTTTATTTGTGCTAGTTCAGCATAAATTTATTTTTTCCTAATTATTTCTATACTTTTCCTCGTGATTTTGACGATCCCGTTTTTTAACTAAGATCTTATTACGACACGTGATTGTTAATCACGCAATTAAATAATCACTTTTTGATACGGTATTACGGTACTGTTTTATCGTAAATCCTAGTTATTTTTCCTTCGTTTTTTTTTCTCAACGAATATGATTTGGTCGAATGTGGTAATGAATTGTGATTTGATCAATAACCAAATATTCGGCAAAAAAAAGAAGAAAAAATCTATTGAACGCCGTACACTTGGGGCCAAATAGCAAAATCTTTTAGCAGTATAGCAACACTGAAACTAAAATTTCAATGCTCAGAATAATATTTCCTTAAAAAACGTATTCATAAATTAACTCTAAAAAATAAGGCCAATCAAGAACGTTTTTGAAAATGTCGAAAAGCAAAACAGAGAACATAAAAATCAATCTTAATTTTTGAAAATTTTCTTTAAAGCTGAACACCTTAGTTTCTTAATTACCAGAAAAAGCCAAGAAAAAAGAATTAAGTCAACTGAAATGCTATTAAAAATTACTGCGTTATAATGAAAACGTCTAAAAAAAGTTTTTTTTTTTTATTTGAAGAAAATAAAAAGATAGAAAAAATTTTCTTAATTTTTTAAGTGAAAATCTTATGCCGAAAAATCTCAACTTAAAATTTTCTCATTGCCATAATTTTAGAAGAAGAAAAAATTTTTTTAAATAAATTTTTTTTGTAACTTAATTTTTAAAAGAAATGCTGAGTCAAAATAAAAATGTCTAAAAAAAGAAAAACAGAAAAAACAAATTTTTCTTAGTTCCTGAAACAAAACTTTAATACTGAAAATCACACTTTTCTATGTTACTGGTTATTTATATTACAGTACAGGGAAAGAGTGATAATAAATTAATAGTATGAGATGTTCTGTTAAAATGCTGGGTTATAATAAAAACTGCAAAAAATGGATCCTTTTCAATTCTCAAAGTGTCGAAAAAATGACAAAATTGACTTGTCTGATTATAATTTTTTTTAAAAAAGTAATATCTATAAAAATTCAAAAATAAGAAAAACTTAGAAAAATACATTTCTAAAAAATATTCTGCCAAATATTTGACTGATCATTAAACCAACTGAATTTTTCACAGAAGGGCCAAATACTCGTTACATCCCTCCCTAATTTAAATGCAATGTTATTGCAACTTGAGAAATTCATAAAATGGCGGAAAACGTGAATTTTTAAACTGCTCACTGTTTGTAGTTTAGATTTCAATTTTTTGTTGCTTAAGGGATCTTTTTCAATAAAAAAAAGGAAAATGTTTACAGTGTAAAAAATCTAATAATTAATAAAATAAAATAATAAAGTACATTACAAAATAAGCATTGAATTTTATTTTGAACAATCACAGTTTTGTTTTTATTTTAGGCTTTTGTTTAAAACCTATAAATTTTCTTCAATTAAAATATTTAATTTGAATTTATATTACTTAATTACGACTAAACTTTTTCCTACTTTCATTCTGTGGGCATTGCAGTTTTTTTTAATTTATTAGAATTTAATTCTAAAATGAGTTTTCATATTGCATATGACAAAAAAAAAAATATTTCTTTTCTTCAATGTTTATTTATTTTGATAAATCTATTGTTCATATGATAAAAATAGCAAGTTTTTTTTATTTTTGGAACACTACTAAGTTTTTGATATTACTAAGTTCATTGGGAAAAAAATGGAACGCTAATGTTTAAATAAACATTATTACATTTGTCATTAACATGTCTAAATACATGTGCGGCCCTTCGTTAGTTAACCTGCTGTGCAAGCAGCCCTTCACTCAAAAAGGTTGTGCACCCCTACTGTAAACACTCAATAAAAATATGCTATAAACACTCACAAATATTTAACACATTTTAAGCATTTACATTATAAACTCTCCATATACAGATAAGATGGTGAGTTCAACAAGAAAAGCAGTAATAAACAATNAAATAAAAATTTTTTTAAAAAAAATGACCTAATAAAGATTTTAAAGATATTTAAACACTCAAGAAAAATATGCTATAAACACTCACAAATATTTAACACATTTTAAGCATTTACATTATAGACTCTCCATATACAGATAAGATGGTGAGTTCAACAAGCAAAAGCAGTAATAAACAATAATTTAACTTACTCAAAGATCAAGCAAATGCTAAAAATAATAATAATTCTTCAAATTAAATTAACTACAAACATTACTATTTTAAATATGGTTTTCTAATAAAATTTCAATTAACAAAGACTGTTCGTTTCTCAAACATAAAACTTAGTTAAATATTTTTAAAAAAATTAATAGAGTTATAACAAAAATAATGTAAATATGACATAAGGAATATGAAAAAAAAAATTTTTTAATTCTACGATAACAAGATAGTTTTTATAAATTTATTTCATTATATTATACTGAAATTAAAAAGCAGAAAAATGAATCTAACAGATTGAATTTAAATAAAAAAAAATCCCAATAATAATTAATGAAAATTATACACCTGTTAAGTTATTTCAGTTAAACTATTAAACAAATAAAAACCTTTATATTATTCTATAATATCCTTTTAAATTACTTTTATGCCAGTTTAATTTAAAGAAGTCTTTATTTTGTGAGCTATGTTCTTCTGCCGTCCAAGAGAATGTTATTGCATGTTTCAATTTAAAAAAGAGAGTTTCACAATCTACAATAAGCTTATCATTTGCTTGTTTATGGAAATTTTGTTTTAATCATGCATTAAATTATGAAACAAAAATTATTAAAAATGTAGTTAAATAAAGTACAAATTATACATATCACATAAAAATAAAACAAATGTATATTTAAGCCAAACAATGAAGAAACAAAATATGAATACTTTATATTTTAATTGTTAGTAGTATGATTTTAATTTATACTTATTCTTTTTAACAAAACAAAAATGTATAAGAGCATAAATAATGTAGGTAACAACAACAAACTGTATAATTTATAACATTTAATATTCAGGACAGAAACAAACATTTGATTCAATAAAAGATATTCAATAAAAGGTGATAAATTTAAAAAATAGCAGTTTTAAATTAATCAAGATTAAAGTTTTTTAACACAGTGAAATTCATTGTAATTTAAAATAACTTTGTTTAATAAGACTTTGAAAACATAACATTTTTTTTGTATAATATCTTACTTTATGTGTCGGATTTTTTTTCTAAAATATTAATAATTTAATTTTAAAAATAGGCTTTTTGTAACATTTTCCTTCTATTTATATGTAGGCAAACTATCTTTAAAACCTATTAACTTCTGGAACCAACAAAGTGAAAGAATAGTATACCAAATAATACGTTACAAAATTAGGAAAAATTTGCTATTAGAGAGTAAAAAAATATAAGAATGAAGTTTACAAAATTGCTTTTTCAAATTGTTTCATTTAATTTATTTAGGAGATAAAATTACTGCAATTAACTACAACATGTTTTTAAACCTGTTTGAATGTTTTTGAAATAATTTAATGTGTTTTCAAACTAAGCTACCAAACCTAAGACAAAATTAGTTAATGGATAATAAATAAAAAGCATAATTTACACAAGTTTATAGCAAAAAATAACAAATACTTTAAATACTTTGCATTTGTGACAAAATATACTAACATAAAAAATATCGGGATATCTAGAACATAATATAAAACTTAGACTTAACAAACTCTAAAGATATAATAGTTTAATTAAACTTCGAATAGTAAATTTTGAAAAATTGTTCAAATTATTCTAAATTAACCACTTTTCACAATTACAGACTTTCATAGATGTAAAGGTCCAACAAAATATATTATTAATATATAATTAAGTAAGAAAATTATAATTTTAAAAGCATCACTGATGTTTTCAAAAATACAAATAAAATTAAAAGATGAAGAATTAAAATTAAAAGATTAGTTAAAAGTTATTAAAAGAACAGTTGTGCAGCTACATTATACGAATTTATATCAATAAAAAAACAATTTCCTCACACCAAAAAAAGTTTAAATTGAAAAAAATATTGATGAATTACCTCATTCTATTAGCTTCCTCAGCTTCAAATTCCTAAAAGCCAAAAAGTTTATTTTAATATTGATTAACAATAAGAAATTAAATATCCGTTAAACAGTTTACAGTTAGATTAGACCTTGAAGCTCTTCCTTTATTTTTTTATATATCAATAATTTACCAAAGCTTTCTTCATAACAGCTTCGAGTTTATCTTTTTCTTCATCTGTTAATCCAGGAACTTCATCCGTCAAAGAGTAGTAAATGCTTCTTGACGCCCCTAATGGCTGTGGGCAGCTGTTTTCAGTCATGATTATTTGAATATCTGCTCATGAGGTAGATAAAACTTTTTTTACTGACAGATTATAAGAGTTTGGTGAACGAAATATAATAAACAAAACAAATCAACACTTTTTGAAACAGATAACTTCGTTCCCCCTGTATCATGAATTTTTTCTGAATTGTTAACAGCTGCTGAAAAATCTGAAACAACTGAATAAACGATAAAGTAGATAATGTCGGATATTTGTGTTATCAACTTGAAGAGTTTCAGTTTAAAACGAACTCATTCAGTGTGGATTCCGGATGAAAAACTCTTCAAAATGCATATTTACGAACGCTGTGTCTGACTATCTCTTAAGACAGTTACAGTTAAACGAAAATTTATGGAAGGAAGTTTTAGTTTCGTTATTATTTTTCCATTTCGGAGTTCAATTTGTGTTTTTACTTAATTAAATCAATTTGAGTACGACCTAATGCACTGCAAGGCCGGATTAACCATTTAGCGTACTAAGATAGTGGATAAAGCACCAGAGCTTAGAGAGTCACCACAAAACGCCAATGAAAAAATAATATATTTCTAGAAATATTTTTTGCACATTTTTATTCGATTACAAGCTCTAACACAAGACTCCCATTATAGATCCTCTGCAAAAACTGTTTAATTTTGCAGTTATATAAATTTACTTTCGTAAACTTTCTTCAATTTTATTTCAGAAAAATATTTTTTATTATTTGTGTTGAATATTTTTAATTTTATTTAAGGAGCATCAAAATCTTTTTATTGCCTCTAGGGTTCTTAATCTGGCCCTGATGCAGTGTTTGAATTTTTAAAAATGACGATACTTTAGTTTATTAATATAATAAGAAACGAATCTCTCCAATCCTTTAATGATCATAATGTAAAATAAATTACAATAAAAGTGGTATTATAATTGCTCTCAAGTTATTCGTGAATGTGCACTACAAGATATTTAAAAAAGATATGTATAGTTATAAAAATATTTCTGCATCATTTTTTTAAAATTTAATTATATGATAGAAACTTTGCACTTTCCTTTTTTTTTCAATCCTGCCTTTCGGTATTCATCAAAAGCTCGCTATTGAAGTACATAAGAACAAAAAAAAAAAAAAAAAGGTTTTACTTTTGCAAGTTAGCTCTGAAAAATTTAAAATTATTAATTTTTGATAATTAAGCAATATGTTAACATAATTTGAAAAAAAAGTTAATTTTTAATTTCATTTCATCATTTTTGTTTATTAGTGTTGCAGGTAGGTATTTTTCACTTACGTCGCACTAGAGCTGCACAAAGGGCTAGGCAGCGGTCTATATCAGTGTTGGGGAGCGGGGAACCCAAAGTTTGAGGGCGCACTCACTGTGTGTTAGAATCAAAATATTGCTTCTATTCATAAAATATTTTAATACACTTTATAATTAAAAAAAACCTTAACAAAACTTTTAATATATTTACTATAGAATAGTGAGTTTTTTCCTTCTATTATTTAAAAAAAAATCATTTTAGTATGCTAAGTGTATACAGTGTTTCAATTTAATACCTTAATTCAACCTTTTCATTGCAATAATTATTGTCATTTTCGTTAAAATAAAATTAATTATTATAAATGTCCGAATATTTCTACACCACTGTGTGTTTCTGTCTCATATTATAACTTTAAATTTCTTATGGCAAGTCTAAAATAGGGCGAATCTTGCAGTAAGTCTTTGTATTTATTGATGAATTTCATCAAAATAAGCAGAAAATTAAATGCAAAATTCCGAAACTAAATTGAAGTAAAAAAATATGAAAACCCATTTTATATCAAGAGATAAAAGCATATGGGCTTCAAAAAGTTATAACTTCATTTCGATTGGTTCGGGGAAGAAAAAAAAAAGACAATTTTTAGCGCGTTTTTTATCGAAATGTTCTGAAAAAAATAATAAATAAATAAAAAAAGAGGAAGAAACAGCAAATTAATAAGTTAGAATTTGTAGTTCACTTAAAAATTTCTTCTAACTTATTTCCTTATTCATATACGAAAATTTAACTTCCTCCTCCCAAAAAATATTACAATCCATATTTTTTTTTCTTATTTTTAAAATGATTACATTTTATTGATCAAGTTTTAATAGTTCATATTTTTATAAATGAAGTACTGAAAAACTCACATTATGTTGTGGGTATCAAATGCACTGATGAATAACATTTTTAAGAATAAAGAATAGAGAAAAAAATCTGTAATACATATGACCTACTATTTTGTATTTTCTATCAAATATCTTATTAGAGTAATCACAATTAATTGTTTTTAAGAATAAATTTAACTGTTGGAAGTATAATATAAATTCCAAATAGATTAAAAAGTATTAAACAGGTTTGGGAATGTTTAAAGCATATGTGATGAGACCCTACAAATAAATTAAGTATAAATAATTTAATCATTATTATTAAGCAATTCGAAAAAAAAAGGCTATGAGTGGTAATATATTTAATTGAAAAAATATAAAAATAAGTGCTTGCCCTAAAACTTTCTACTGTCTGTTTACCAAGACTTTATTATTTACCAAGACTTTTCTTTTTATTATAAGATTAATTTATTACAAGACTTTTCTTTTTATTACAAATATTGATTTAAAATTATTTTATGGAAATAAACGCGTTTTTATGTTCATGAACTTTGTTTTTCTATCTTTACTACTAAAATCTTCTTAACTATTTTTCTAATTAAAATAATTTAATCGAAAATCATGAGTTTTGAACTGAAAAACCGGCACAAAAATTTAAAAATTGAAACAAAATATTTTTTATCAGGAAAATAATTATAATTCCATTGTTAATTGTTTCCATACGATGAGCGCCACGGACTTTCCCATGCAGCAGAGATAAGTATTAATTAGTACGTGAAAATAACGTTAAAATGCCACAAGGTTTAGAGCAAAAAAAAAGTTTTTTCAAAACGTTTTATTTTCGTTTAAAGTGGTAGTCTCGAATTAGTTAAAAAAACGTTAATAATTGGGTTGTTTTTAACTTTAAGATGTCCGATTTTTGCCCTTATTTTGACTAAGGTGTATTTTGTAACCAATTTTTCACGTGATTTTAACCAAGCAGGTTTCTTTTTTAACGTATTTTTTACGTTTTTTTTCACCAAACTATTTACGTATATTTTTGGTTCTATAAATTCGTTCTTTTCACCATGAATATTTACGTGTTTTTAACGCTTATTTTTATTAAAATAACGTACATTTTACGTTATTTTAACCAAAATACAAACGTATTTTATCCATACAATTTACGTATTATTATTAATATTTTTAACGCTTATTTTGAGTTGGGAGAATTAATAAATTTTTCGCGTAAATTTAACTAAATTAATTCCAATTTAGCGTAATTTTAACCGAATTGTTGACAATAACACATTTTAAGTTTTTTTTTTTTTTTTTTTTTTTTAAACCAAGAAGGAAAGAAACTATTCCGTATTTTAATGTTTACGCTGCACTAATTACACTAAAAATGTCAATTGACATAAAATAACTAAAAAAAACCGATATCTGTAACAGTAACATTTTCATAAAATGTGCTTACTTTAAAAATTTCTTTTAAAATGCAAGCTCAGGATATAGATAACTTATTTTTAAATAAGGAGACCCAGGCTCGAATCTCAGTGACGACAACCCTGTCGATTCTGCTCACCCGGTTTGTACCGATAAAAGTGCTAACGTAATCGTATACAGTAATAAGCTTAGAATCCTCTTGTCATTGGACAACTGTGGGAAATTTTCGTGGTTTTCCTTTCCATAAAACGTAAATGCAGGTAAATTCGATCAGAAAGTCTTACACGAAAGCTAGTTTGTCTAATTCAGGAGTTCCCTTGTCTTCTGGGTTGGGTTCAAAATTAGAAAGTTACGAAGTTGAATATTGATAGCATAACTCAAAATTGGGATGACAATTCAGCACTCAATTATGAAATAAAATACATGAAATTACTTTCGTTTTTTTTTAATGTATTAGCTTTTAAGTCCTGAAAAGCGTAGAAATTTTTTTTAAACGGCTTTGACTAGTAACTTGTCGATGAACATAATATGAATTTATATATCTTATTAAACTACTTCATCAAAAATTACGGCATTTTTATAACTCTTAAATGTTATTAAAAAAATAATTGATGCTCAACGCTTAGATAAATAGTAATTTACTTATTAAAAACTGTAGCGCAAAGAAACCAATGGAAGCAGAATCATTTGAAATGATGGATACAGATATTGACGAAGACAAAAAAACGTTGTCAAGGCTATAAAACCATTTCGAGAAAATTCAATAATAGGAGAGAATAACTCGTAATAAAATTTTTTTGAGGAGAACATTCAAGCCTAATAACAGAAAAACCGAAAAAGAAAACTGGCTTTCTTATTTGCAGATCAAATTTTATCATAAAAGAAAAAATAATAAATAAAAACATGTTTATGACAGACGGCTGACAGAGCAGCAAAATTAGCTGAATTTCACTTTAACATTATTACTTTAGATGAGCAATGTGCAATAAAAATAAATAAATAAAAATATTGTATTAATAAACAAATAAATAAAATAAAAGACTCCACGGTTTAAGTGTCCCTAATATCGTTACATATCAGGTCAGATTTTTTTATTCAGGTCACCATTCTTCACTTTTTGTTTGGGTACAACTGAGGTAGAAGGTAGGTCATTTACATCGCCCTACATCACAATGAGCTATTGGCGACGGCGTGGGAAACAACTCTGAAAATGATCCGAAGACATGCAGTCGGAGATTGGATCCTCTGCAGAGGGGGCGACTTCCCTGCTTTGGTACTCCAACGACCAACACACGAAGTCGAGCACTTCACGGTAATTTAACGATGACCGATACGGCACACCCTTGGTCCCTAAGCAGGCTGATCAAAGTGGCCACCCAACCGCTTACTGACCGCAGCCAGTGTTGTAATACTAACCGCGTCTTTAAGATCAATCCACAACGGGACACGTACAACTGAGAAGCAAAGTGTAAAAAAATCACTGTTAAAATGGACACAAGAAGTATTTATCTCGTTAATCTAAAAAAATGCGCTTTGAAATTTTCATTTAAATGAACTTTTTAAGTAAACATTATTGTATTATTACATCGTAAGCCAGATACTTTGTCTGATATCAATGCTGGAAATCAACTATACAATTTTTATTAAAGTAAAAAAAAATCCCCAAATTACCTAAAATGCCCGTTGTAATCTTGTCATAGAGGTTCCACCATTTCGCGAGCAACTGAACGATTGC